GCGATATGGTTCATGGGGTCACAAAGAGTCGGACACGACTTAACGACTGAACAACAGTAACAGAGACAAATATTGACTGTCTACAGTATGAGTTGATTTGCTCTAAATAAAGCATTTCTTGGTAAAGATTTTGAATTGTGATTGAAGCTTGAGGTATAAAAACAACAGCAAATACCATTATTTCCAGAAGCTTATGTTGAGAACAAGGGAAACCTACTTTATAAGTATCTCTTTTTTTTAAAGGTATATGTTTTTGGGACCTGCTTTTTAAAAAGACTGAAAAATAAAGTCAGCATTGATAAATTACAGTTGTTTAAATTAAAAAAAAACTTAATTCATGTTTTTAAGGTTTCAAAGCAGTAACTTTGAAAAGAGATTTTAGCTCTATGTATGTATGAGAGAGAAAAAAAATTAATTTAGGTTGTGAAATCATACTCCTGTTTCAGACACCTAAGGAGGGCATCATAGAATTACTAAATCTACCTACTCTAGAAAACTTGTGACATTTTTGTCCGTATGTTTTATGCAAGTGTGAACCAGAAAGCTTTGAAGCTACAGATCTTGTCTCCTTAAAGCAGAGCCATCAATTACTGTTTGAAACCACAATGCAGTACATGCTGATTTGTTCGTTCAAGAAAAGAATAAACCTCTGTTTGTAAAGGCTTGCATATCTCAATGGGCCTTTCAGAAGCACACCATATTAAAATGCACACCACCTAGAACTATACATATTAATTATCACAAGACAACATGCTCACGATCTGGGTTTCTGTACAGTTCTGTCATATATATGGAAAGGACAGTGAGAAGCCTTATCATTATTTCTGGGGTTTCATAGATCAGGCTTTATGTTATCTTCTGGAAGTTTTTTGGATCGTGGCAATTTCTACAATTCTGAGAAGCTTTCAAAACATTTAGGCTTTCTTGAATATAAAGGATGGCTCTGGTGGCAATAGAAACTACAAGATGCTGGATATGTACAGACTGTGATAAATTATATCAGCAGTTACTGGAATCTATAATTGGTATGTAGCATAGTGGATGTTGATATTTCAGAGATTACGTTGTGGATCTGATTATTTTAAAAGGTTCATTGGGTATTTTTTGCTTCTTACATAGATTTTCTGTTAAAATAATAGCATTTTCTTTCTTTTGCTGGAAGTTCCTTATAATAAATGAGCTTTTTGCCTAACTTTAAAATGGTTTATTTTACTGTTGCAATCATTTTGAAAACTTATTTATGCCAGCCATTTAATAGTGTTGATTTTTTTTAAAAGGTTGATTATTTTGACCAACATATTTTATTTAAAATATAACCTGTTATTAAAAGCTTTTCTAATAATGACACTGTATGGATTCAGCTCAGGATCTGTTCAATTCAATATTTGTTCAATTCTTTTGTAAATATGACAGTATTATATTTTGCCTATAATAATATAATTAAGTTAATGAATAGATTCTTAAACTTTGAGGGAGGAGGAAATTGTACTTTTATCAAGTATAGCAAATAATTGTAAGCAGTTCTCATATACAGTGTGTTCCTAATTGACTTCAGAACTTCTTGTCACTCAAATATATATTGGCATTCTGGATGTTCCCTGGAGGCCCTCCTAGTATTCCCATATTGGGCCAACTCTTGACCTTTTTACTAAAATGTACTAATTTGCTGTATATTTTTTTGTAGATGAGCCGTCTAGTCCTAGTATTGACCATGACATCACCCACATTCCAGCTTCTGCTGTTATTTCAGCATCTTCCTTGCGAGCACCCACCATCACCACTGTTCCTCCTAGTCCTACTGCTCTTGTTCCTTTAATTCGACGTCAGCTATCTTATGGCCATGGTTAGTTTACTGTTTCAAGCAGTTTTAGCTAAATTCAACAAAACTTGCTTATTTTTAAAAGGTGGGCGATTTGTTTTTGCTTTGGTTACAGAATCTATTAGGACTAGTGTCGTAGATGATCAATTCCCTGCAAAAAGTGAAAGGTCCAAATCTTATGATGAAGGACTCGATGACTATAGAGAAGGAAAAATGTAAGCCCACAATACCTATAAAAATATAAATGTGCATCTTTGGATGTCTTATTCAGGAATTTCTTTAAAAATGTTCACTAAAATATCTACTTTCCATCTATAGGGCCATAAAGCATGTGCCAAGCTTAAAGGGAATTAAGGTCAGTAACTTTGTTTTCAACATCATTTATCTGCTATGTAAATAACATTAGTATTGCATGACTAAGCATTAAGATGAACCTAGGCATTTGAGAATATAGACTTTGCTCAAAGTTTAACAGTGCTTTTTGGTTTAATGACCAAGCACCCACTTAGTGAATAGAAGGTGCTGGCCTTTGCCATTTAAAAAATCAGATAGCATTTGATGTAGAAGTCCTTTTCTTGCTATGGACAGAATGGCATACTCTCTGAGGCATAAATGCAGTTAACTTTGAAATTGTTACCACTTCCTTGTGTATTAAGGGGAAACTGACTGGCTGAGATATATGACAGGGCTTCTTTGTAATTCATTGGGGCTTGTTCTCAGCCACTAGGTGACTGATGAATGTACTGTTACACTGATGTTAACTCCCTCTCCATACTAGCTGTCTGTATTCCCACCTACATAGATGGAAGGGAAAGAAGAGGGAGAACCTGAATGGTTAGAGCATGCTTAACCTGGTGTGATTATGTTTTCTTTAGGCTCCAGACAGCCAAGCATCTTTAGAAAATGCAGGATTCAGAAAAGCATCTTCTTCAGACGTTTTTGCTGATACTTCCAAAGAAGGATATCTCCATTTTCGACAGCTAGTTACAGACAAGGTGAAGGTACTGTTCTTCCAAACCACAGCTAAGAGTAAAACCTGTGTTCTTGTACATATTCAGATGTTTTAGGGAATGTTTTGAAAACATATTCAGATGTTTTCAGATGCCTACAGATTTTTCATTTTCTATGAAGAATACTGGAAATTTGCTTGTTTGGGCAGAAACTGAAGTTTTCAAACTTTCCCTTTGAACTGCATAGACCTGAGGCACTTGTTGCAACTGTTCTTGAACAGTTAAAATGAAGTTATAAACACTAAATACAGTTAAATGAATCTTCTGCATGTCAGTTGCTCTGCAGCTCCATTGCTTATCTTACTGATATTTTCACAATAAGAGATTCTTCAGGCTACTAACACAGGTGAATTATTAGGAAAGACTTTTAGGTTTGGAGGTAAAAAATCTCAGTGATGTAAACATAAGTCCTGTCTTGTTTGTGTCTCTTGATAACTTGTCATTTTTGATTAGGAAGATATTCTATCAGCATTATGTCAATTAACCTGTCAAAAAGATTCCCAGTGTGCAGATAATTCTTATTTTTTGTTTATATTACAATATTTTGCACAACTTCAGGCCTACTTATTTCAAACTATATCATAAAGCAGCGTGGTTAGTTTTTGGATGGGCAGGACCATTAGGGACTTCCAGGACTGTCAGTTAAACTGGGAAGTGGAAACAACATCCCAGAAAAAAACAATGGTAAACTGCTTCTGTATTTTTTTGTTAAGAAAAAAACATGGGTGTGTTTATGAAGTCGCATGGAGTCAAGTTTGATGCGAATGTGGTGTTAACTTTATAACAACCAAAGTACTAATCAGGGAATGTGGTTCCCTCCTGTTTTTTTCTGTGTTTTGTATTCCTTATTTTAGAACATGTCCAAGTTTTGCTGATTTTATTATTTAAAATATTTATATCCCACGTGTTATATAGTAAATAGATCCCCAGATGTTGAACAAATTAAAAAATAAATTAAATATAATTAAAATACAGTAACATAAGACAGAGTACATCAAATGATGTAACAATGACCATGAGTAGTTCCACGGCACCCTAAGGAAATCTTGAATGCTAAAGCATAAAAAGAGGTTTTGAGAATGCACCTAAATTGTTACAAAATTTATATAGTGTGGGAAAGCCCTTATCTCACTTACTCTGGTTAATAGTTGTTTAAGCTTTATAGGTAATATCAAAATCATAAACCTGGTCTATAGCAAATTAGCAGTTGCTGAGGTTTTTAAAAAACAATAATGTTATATGAAAGCATTGAGGTAGCCACTGAGAAATTTTGCAGTAGCTGTAACCTCTGGACCATGTGCAAAGGCAGACCCCTACATAAGACATCACAGTCATCCAAACATCTAGTTACTGACAAAGAGGTGACAGTGACTCAGCTCTCTGCCTCCGAGAATGGCCATAGCTGTTGTATATACCAACAGTAGCAAATGATATGCTTTTTGTCACAGCAGCTCACTTGGTGACAGTAATTTTAACATATAAAACGCTATGTACGCTCCCCTTGTTTTCTTAAATATTAATCTTAGTTCCTTTTTTCCAGAGAGTTGGCGGGAGCATCCGGCCATGGAAACAGATGTATGTTGTTCTCAGAGGGTGTTCATTGTATTTATACAAGGATAAAAAAGAACCAACTATGCTTTCTGAGGAGGAACAGCCCATCAACATCAATGCTTGTTTGACAGACATTTCATACAGTGATACCAAGAGGAAACATGTGTTTCGGCTTACTACATCAGATCGTGAATACCTGTTTCAGGCTGAAGATAGAGATGACATGCTGGCATGGATTAAAGCTATACGAGAAAGCAGCAACTTAAATGATGAGGTTGTGTTCTTGTTCAGTATTTATTCTTCCTCCCTGTTGTACTTTGCAGAGATCAGCAAGTTTTTCCAGCACCAGTATGCAGTTCCACATGGCAGCCAGACACACAATAAATACAAGCTAGACATATTAAAAAACCCAAATCTCACAAGCTTTTTATAAGATGGCATGAGATTTCAGTGTTCCCACCAGGGAGATGGTATATCCATTAAGGTGTGAGAAAGCAATATTGGTAAGAGTGTGCATGAAACAGAGTCTTTGCACTTTGAAAGTTTGGCCACACTGTTCCAGGTGGATTATGGTCCAGCTAAAGTGTAACACAGTTCATTTAGGTTGACCAGGTTTCAGCCAAAGCAAATCTGGAAGAGTCTTAAGCAACTAAGCCAAATCTAGTTTGCTCAACCCTCCCTCCCCTTCTCTTCTGTGCCTCATTCTGCTCACTTATCATTCCAGCACCTTCCCCATGACACCCCATATTTACACTGCATTTGAATTCAGTTGTGCGTACCTGCTAGCTGTCTCCCCATCTTTCATGGGCAGTCATTCCTTAGTGCCTTGCACCCACCTGAGGGATCCCCTACCTCTGTACCACCACCACCCTTCTTTTTCCTCACTGTTTTCCACCCCAGGATACATGTGTTCCAGCTCCATTCATGAATCAAACATGCTTCCTCTGGCTCCATTCACATAACCTTAAAGGTGGTGCTATTTGCAGTTTCCTTGTCCACAGTTTTAAGTTGAAATGGAATCCCTGCAAAAAATCCATCTGTAACCAATAACAAAAATCCGCTGTTCAACCAATAACAGTGATTCATTCCTCCTGGAAAACATTACTTAAATCATTGTTACCACATTAAGGATGCTATATTAATATCACAGGAAACAGTTAATTGATCGCCAAGAAAGATACAGTCATGCTTGCCACATATAGCAATCCCTGGTCTAACCATTGCTACAGTTAATACTGAGGAACATGTATTTGCAGGGTGGCCAAATTGAGAACCTTGTAATAGTTTAGCCTGGCTCAGGAAAACCTGGATAGCAGTAGAAAGGATAGGAAGGCCTAAATGGAATCTGTGGAATATCATGAAAGAACTTATTTGCAACTTGGGAAGGGGCAATTTGTCATAAGAAAACATTTGAAATTAGCTATTCTTTTGGTAGCGTTCATAATTAAGTTATTTTTGTAACATAATCCTACAACTGACTCTTCACACAATTGCACTGAATTCAGTTGTATCTAAGACCTTCAAGTGTTAGCAATATGTGTACAGTGGTCTCTTTCTAAGAGGAGGGGAAGAAGTATGCTGGATTTGTGCTCCTTCCACTTCATTTTTGTCGCTGAGAAGAACTTTCTCTGTCTATGGAAGCTGTATATGCAGTTCTGGATTCTGAACTGCATGGAGAACATCATTGTTCAGGGTCAAATATAAAATGTTTAAAAAATTGCATGTTTGGAAATCAGGATTTGTCATAAGAACATCAAGAAGGTGCTACAGTTTTACATAATGCAATTGCATACATGTACAGTTTAGTAAGCAGCTGTAAATAGCTGTAATTTGCAGACATTCCATTAACGCTAAAGTAAATTCAAGACTGGGTGGTTAAAATGTGCATCTTATAGCAGAGGAGAGGCATTTGTTGCCTTCAAATGATGCAAACTATTAATCCCAGTAACCTCAATTATATCCAGCAACATCTAGAAGGTCAGGGTTTTTTTTCATTCCTGACTTACAAACTATTCTGTCTAACGTTTAATATGTAAAATGCTGTTTCTGTGGTTCTCGAAATGCTTCCCTAATGTGTCTGCAATCCAATGCATTGTGTGCTTTAAAATTGATGACGTTTTATGTCTAACCTCTACATTTTATTTTTTCTTCATTTTGATGTATTTTCTATATTTAAATTATAATTGTCATTAGCTCTCCATTATTATATGCTGTTTAGCTTGTCCTGTCCTGCATATGGCTAGTTAAGTTTTCATTTACAGAATTGTGCAAAACAGGAATTCCAAAATAGCTTTCCCTTCATTTTGCAGAACACAGGTGTCACAAGCAGGGATCTAATTAGCCGGAGGATTAAAGAATACAGCACAATTATGGGGTAAGCCACCACAGTACAGTTTAAGGTTCAGTTAGTCAGCTACATGGATCTCCTGCTTTTAAATAATTTTTTTTTCAGTGCTTCAAGTGGCAAAACGGAACCATCTCCAAAAACACCCCGACAGAGCCTAAGTATAAGGCAGACATTCCTTGGTACTAAAACTGAGCAAAGAACTCAAAGCCCGCATTCTCCTAAGGAGGAATCAGAAAGGAAATTCCTTGCTAAAGGTATTGTATATTAAATATAAGAATATCATTACTTACACCAAGCTTTCTTGTTATACTGCAGAAAGCCTGATGGTGAGAACACTAAGTGTTATGGGGTTTGGAGTTTCATTGATTCTTAGGAGAAGTGCATTGAAGAAACTTTTTATGCCATGGCAAGTGATGGTGAAACTCCTTTTATTCTCGGAATTCCTCTTGATTATTTCTGTTTATAAGGAAGCTCCACATCAGAAACAAACTGGTAAACTGATCTGAAATGTGACCCCCAAAATATGGATGTATGTGGGGTGGAATTGAAAAGGCAGTGGGAAAGACTGTAGGATGAAATAGTCTGAAAAAGGCAAATGGAGGGAAAGACACTTGTATAAAAAGGATAGAACCATCTCATTCTGTAGATGTGATATTTCATATTGTTTTGGGAAACAAACTTAATGAATACAGAATGCTGATTTATTGTAGGGAAATAGGAGTGGAGTAGAACAGGAACACTACACATTGCAACATTTATTTATTTATTTATTCAGTCAGTCAGTCAGTCTTCTCTTTTGCTATGGAGTCATGAAGCTTTGGAGTTATTTGCAATCTTTTGTCAAGGAAAGTGGAAATGGCAGTGGGATCAGTAGGAATAAAACCATCATTCTCTGTTTGCTGAGAACTACAATTTTGTTTTTTCATTGTAGCAGTTTTCATTGCAGCCTGTCTTTAAAAAGAAAATGTTTCCTTCCGTCTAAATACAAGTAGTCCTCAACTTATGTCCATTCATTTAATGACTGTTCGAAGTTATAACAGTGCTGAAAAGTGACTTACGACCAGTCCTTGCACTTAGGACCGTTGCAGTGTCCTCATGGTCACATGATTAAAATTCAGGCACTTGGCAACTGGCATGTATTTACGATGGTTGCAGCGTCCCAGGGTCACGTGATTGCCATTTGTGATCTTCCCAGGGGGCTTCTGACAAGCAAAGTCAATGGGTGAAGCCGGATTTGCTTAACAACTGCATGATTCACTTAATGACCACAGTGATTCACTTAATAACCATGGCAAAAATGTTGTAAAATTGGACGTGACTCAATGACCACATCGCTTAGCAACGGAAGTTCCGGTCCCAATTGTGGTCATAAGTCAAGGATTACCTGTATTAAAAATAGTAACTAAAATCATTTATATAAATATAATAGATACAACATGCTCATTTGCTAAGTGTCTGTGTTAGGTCTTACTATAAGAATATTGCATTAATTCTTTAAAAAATTACTAGCCTAGGAAGTGACTTGAAAGTCAGAAGAGATGTTTAAGTATAGATACTAGGTTAATTAGGAATATATTCCCACGCAGTATAATGTATTAGTTTTGTACATGCCAACCACTGCGCCGATACCATGCACCTTTTATCAGGAAGAACATCAGTCCCTTCTATGAAAGAATGTTTGAGTTGTGGGACTAGGTTTTGATGTCTAGAATAACCTTAAATCTCAAAAGTAAATCTGACACAGAGTTTAATTCAAATAGGAATGCACTCCTGGATTACAATTCAATACATGGATTTGTACCACATTCAAAATGCATAAAGTTTGTATTTTAATTTTATAGAACTTCTAAATTAGAATAGACTTAGTAGCACGGACAGAATTTTGTACAGTTCATAATTTCATTTTAAGGTTTATATTGCGCTGACCATGTTTCCTGATATTTATGCTTTGCTTAGAGCTCAGTAATGATTTTTCAAGCTTTTAAAATGATATAATATATTCAGTTCACAATCAAGTAATAATCTGTGTGACATTTGTAAATCCCTTGTTTACTCATTTGTATCCTAGTCTTTTATCCCTTTTTTTTCTTTTTCTTCCCTGTTTATATATTTTCTCTTTTATACACACAGACACACATTTATATACATATATAAATCCATGCATGCACACAATTTCATTTTGGTGGTTGTGTCAAGATACAAAAAAGGCTGGGTGACTTTGGGCCAGTCCCTCTCTCTCAGCCCAACTCACCTCACAGGGTTTTTATTGTGGGGAAAATAGGAGGAGGAAGGAGTATTAGGTATGTTTGCTGACTTGAGTTATTTATAAAAATAGTAAAGGCAGGATAGAAAAATCTAAAAAAAAATTGTAGGTTTTTGTTTAGATACTGTTCATACTGATTGCAGGTGCCACAAAATTTGATTCTGTTCAGAGTTAATATAATTGCTGGATGATGGTTGCTCAGGTTGTGGTGAACTTGTGGCCTGACTTTGGAGAAGCTGTGGTCTCTACTCTGTTTCCATATTTAACTATACGAAGTATATTATGCTCCTCTACTATTTTGTTGGCTCACTTGATCATTATATCTAGTTACATACTGTTAGCTTTCTGAAGATTTTAAATGATTTATTTTCCTTTTTGCTCCTCTTCTTTGAAGAAAAAGATGAGACAAGCCCACCGAAAGATAAAGGTACATGGCGAAAAAACATTCCAAGTATCGTGAGAAAAACATTTGAAAAGAAGCCCTCTGCTACTGGCACGTTTGGTGTCAGACTAGATGACTGTCCCGCAGCTCAGAGCAATAAGGTATTTGTTTTTTTTAAAGGCGTGCATATAGATTTTTCTTTGAAAATTATTCTTCAAGAGACATAAATAGTAAACACAAACTCTCATTCCCTTTTGGATTTTTCAGTATATTCCACTAATCGTTGATGTATGCTGCAAGTTAGTTGAAGAAAGAGGTCTTGAATATACTGGTATTTATAGAGTTCCTGGAAATAATGCTGCCATCTCAAGCATGCAAGAAGAACTAAACAAAGGAATGACTGACATTGATGTTCAAGATGATGTGAGTTGTGCCCTCTTTGTTTCAAACTCATAGTATTTCTTTTTAATGATAGGCTAACAATGTTTTGTTTGCTCAATTCTTAGAAATGGCGAGACCTGAATGTCATAAGTAGTTTATTGAAGTCCTTTTTCCGAAAGCTTCCAGAGCCGCTCTTTACTAATGGTAAGTTTTGATTCTAGGTAGAAAAGAAGAAGAAAACTATTTAATAAAACAACACCATAGATAGCCTGTGATAAATTAAATTAGAAGACAGTTTTGTTTGAATTCAGTTAAGCATTGTTCTCCTTAATTTTAGTATTGCTTAAATTTAGCAGGATTCTTTTGCCTGTCTCTTAAAAAGACTAAGATGGGGTATGTAGCTCAGAGGTAGGTGATCTTATTGGCTTATATGCAGAAAGCACAGGTTCCATCCTACTTTTCCTGTAAAAATTACTAAGTAGCAGCTAATACGTAATGACCTTTCTCTGCCTGAGATTGTGAACAACTATTGCTGAGCAGAATAAACAATTCCAAGTTGCTGAAATTGCCAGTTGGACTTCTCATAATATTCCTTCAGGTATTCTCATGTGCAGGTTGTAGCCATAAAATCAAATACAGTGCCCCCCAGTTGCATATTAACCTGTTGAGTGCATCCCATTTTCTGTTTCTATGAACAAGACAAACAAAAAAATGGCTTGAATCCCTGGTGGACTGCCGTATATGGCTGGGGAATTGGAATTGAGTTGGTGAGTCATAAATTATGTCAGACGTTAATGGGTTGGGAATTACATATTAAAAATACATTAATACTGCACTTTCTTGCCTTCTTTTAGTGGCCCCATTTCTGTGCATTTGATGCCAGTGTGATGCAGACATTGGGCTGTTGTGTTTTTCTGGTCACTTGTTTCAGTACCAGGAAGTACCTACCAGGAGTAATTTCTGTATGGCAAGATCAGAGGCACTTGAAGGGATTACTAAAAAAATGGCAACAACTAGTTCAAATACCTAGTAAGATATATAAACCTCAAATAAAAGCTGCTTTGTATATATTTGAAGTGGCATTTCTTTATAAACGTAAATCATATCATGTTTTTCTAATTTCACAGTATCAGATTATAACTATTTTCGAATAGGCATATTTTCTAACGTAGTTCTTACACAGAGAGTCCAGGCTATCCACATTGGTTGAAATAAATTAGAGCAAGAAATGTGTCTCTGCCAGGACGTTGTGTTGCTCTGCTGATGCAAGTCCATTGTTTATGCTTAGCTCCTCTTTCTCCTCTGTTCTTGCTGCTGTTGTTTTTAAAATGTAGCAGAGAGGTTGTAAAGTAGGTCTTGCAATAAAATTATGTTCTCTCATTAGAGAAATATGCAGATTTCATAGATGCCAACAGAAAAGAAGATCCTATCGAGCGACTAAAAACACTGAAAAGGCTGGTATGCTGCTTTTGGATATGCATTGAATCTGATTCAGTTTGTTATGTTTTGGATTATTTTAAAACTCTGCTGAAATCATCCATTTCAGATCCATGATTTACCTGAACATCATTATGAAACACTCAAATTTCTCTCTGCACATCTGAAAACTGTAGCAGAAAATTCAGAAAAGAACAAGGTAACTGGCTTATCGGTACCAAGAGCTTATATTCATGATAACTAAGTTTAGAGCTTGCTTCTAGGAGCTGTGGTAATAGAATTGTGTTTTTCTGGCTATAAGGCATGCTCCAGATTATTTGGAATGTCACAATTGTAGCCTGCATTTGCTTTCTCAGCTCAGTAGGCTCTGTGGCTGCCTCACCGTGGTGAACACTTAGGAAAACCAGTGGTTTAAGCATATATAAGAAAAACATAAAGAAATGAAGGATTACCATTATCCTTGAGAGAAAAGCCATCTTTCTTGCTTCCCACATGGAGGTAAAATCAAACAAGAAAGACACCTAGTCTCATCGATCAAGAGTATTTTTTTTCCCTTAAGTTGTGCACCTTGATCTGCAACGTTTGAGGAAAAACAACCTTGTTAGGTTTTGTGGGTTCCTTTTCTTCCCGCACATATTGGATGGACAGATTATGTGTTGAGGTACACGGAACCCATCGCTGGAAATAAGTGCTGCATTGTGTGGCTAGGAAGCTGTCCTGTAGTCGCAGAGTTAAGAACTGTTGCAGAAAAAATGTATACTATGGTCCATAGGAAAGTCACCTGCTCAGCATTCAGCTAAAGCTTCATAAGATGTTGAGAGGTTCATGTACTACTTTAGATTTAGAAGAGGGAATGGATATAACCAGGTTCAACTGTTGATGTTTCTAGACCTTTGCTTAAGAACACAGAAAAATTATTAGATGCAGGCACAGACAGTGGTGGACTAAATGGAGCAGGGTCCTGATCTGCTATATAAATCCGTTTCATACATTGATTAGCTGTTGCTTTGACTTTTCATTCTCACTAGGAAGTCTAGTCTAACTTAGCAAAATTGGTCCTACTGTCAGATGCTTCTGCTTTTTAAGGGACGTATACATATATGTAAGTGTGATGATATGCCTAATGTAAATGAGAAAGTCAGATTTATTTTCTTTGTTCTTTAGATGGAGCCAAGAAACCTGGCAATAGTATTTGGTCCAACACTTGTGAGGTCATCTGAAGATAACATGACACATATGGTTACTCATATGCCAGATCAGTACAAAATTGTAGAAACACTTATCCAAAAAGTAAGTGAATTCATTCCATGCTGCTAGACAGATTATTCAGACAGACCTGTATCTTTAGTTAGACCAGCCTGGATTTTGATTTTCTTATAAAGTTCTCACTCCTTATTTCTTCAATGTCCACATTTTAATTTTTTCATTTCTGTGGAGTTTTTCACTTCTTTTATTTTAAATTGTAGCATGACTGGTTTTTCGCAGAAGATGATGCTGAAGAGCCTTTTGTAAGTACTGATCCTTAACTAAATGGATTCTCCTCCTGTTTTAATATAGGGCCAACAAATGAATACATGATCCCCCCCCCCAATGTGTTCTAACAATGTTCTTTGTACACCACACCAAAACATTCTAATGGTTTTTGCTCATGAAATAATGAAAATAGCACATAAAATGAAGTTGTAAGTTTCTCCTCTAAGGTAGTTTTTTTCTCCATTTAATACCGCTGCTTGGGTATTTTTCTTTCTTCTTAAATGTTATATAGAAAGATTGGCATTCTTTTCAGTTCTCAGGTGACTAATTTTTCTAAATACTGTTGAATCATGATGAAGCCACTGACTGTGACACGATGATGAAGAGATCTTTGTTTATTAACTGTAGACAGCAGTTCAGGAGGAAAACACAGTAGAGTCTCAGCCAGTGCCAAACATAGATCATTTACTCACCAACATTGGAAGGACTGGAGTATCTCCTGGAGACGTATCAGGTAACTCTTGCCTGGACAGTTTGTAGGTTAGAAAATTCTCTCTTCTGATGATTTATTATAGTCGTCTCCTTTTTCCTTTCTTCGCTAATAACTTGATTTCCCCCTTTCTCTACATGATCTTGGGTGTATTGTTCAAAGGACAGCAGTGGTTGAGCATGTTGTATGACGTAGGTTGGAATGCTCTCTCAGCAACCAGTGTAATTCTTAGACCATGAGAACAGCTGAGCATGTTCACTAGTGTATCATTGACCATGGTTACCCATGTACTTCTTACCATGAGGCGAATAAGGTACCTGCTAGTTTGTAAGTGGTTGAGGAGCAGGCAGAAAGCTTTAACTTCTGCACACCATTCAAATAGTAATATTTTTCTAAACTTAGGAAGGCAAACCAAGGTTTTAAAGTTCTTTTTGCTTGACTACTAACTATATTTTCCCAAACTATATTGTAACTGATTGTTTGTTTATTATTAAATGTTGTTTCTGCTTCATGACTACCACCTTATTACTCAGCTAAGTACTCCTATTGCAAACTGCCACCATACTGTTTCACTAAGTATGTTGTTTATCACAAATGTTATCCCTTTGTCTCTAGTTTGTGTTTTAGTTCATAGAAGACTTTTTTCAGCATTTTATTGAAACAGTCCCTCTATCCTGATGTTGAAACAGGAGAAGTGGGAGGAGTCTATCACACGGTGATGTCACTAGTGGACTCTGTGATGTCACTGATGGACAGCTGGAACTGTAGGAAGAAGGAGGACTGTTGCCCACATTGTAGCTGCCTTGTCTGCAGAAACCCCCGTTTCTTGTAAATGCACAAAGGACTAGTTGATCTGTACTGTAAATTTATCCTTTCAAGAATATTTGAACAGATCAGTGCTACTTTTTAAAAGTATTTCTGCTGTTTCTTGTTATTTCTGAAGCAGACCCTGAGGAGAAATAGCATGGTATGGTCCACCGGTTTTTCTAGTCATTAGCCATGTGTCAAAAGGGGCATGGCATGGGGCTCAGCTCATTAATTCTGAGGTGGGGGCACCCCCCCGGCAAGTTGGAGAATGTCTTTTGGTCACTGTGCTAGCCCCTCCGTATCCCCTTTTTAATTGTATAACCTCCGTTGTTGTTTTATTTTGCCAAACAGTAAAATTATGGTGTCCATTTTTCATTTCATAATAACGCTTCTTTTTTTGAGATGAGTACAAAACTGATAGCTGTGGAAAAAAGTCTAGATAGTGGTAAAAATTTCTTAAATGTACAGCTCGGAGGAGCACTGAAATGTTAACTGGGGCTTTTAAATACATAAAGCCCAATATAGTTTGACAGCATACAAACAAGAACTGCAAAAAAAGAATTTTAAAAATTGTTTCAGAAGGTAGCCTAAGGCACTAAAAATAATGGTTTAAATGTGCATTTCATTCGCCGGAATGTACAGAGTACAGTCCTGAAAAGGTCCCCCAGCTGCGGTTTTGCAGGGCCGTGCGCTAAGAGCATTAAATAAATATTAGTATTTCTGTTTTATTTAGAAGAAAGGGCTCCTTTGCCATTTCTGTCATTGAGCTGATTCTGCCTCCAACTCACAGCATCCTTTCATGGCGGTGGCTTTCTGTGGTGCAGCTTGCATCTTTGTGAGCTCTTACTATCCACTGTTCTGATTATTTAATTTTTTTGTTATCTGTTTGCTCTCACCTTTTGTTCCGTGCTTGTCTTCTTTCATACTTCAGCATTGTCTAGAGCAAAAGCAAAACTTTATGCCATATTGACTGAAGTGCTGTGTTGATTTTTCCCCCCAATAGATTCAGCTACTAGTGACTCTGCAAAATCTAAGGTAAATCACTTATCTGTATTTTTACAGGTTCAAGCCTATGCATCGTAATCTTGAGAGAGGGTTCACTGGCTTGCATTAGCTCTCTCATGTGCTGTTGGTACAAATGTATCGTCATAATGGCTTATGACAGTGAAGTGCTCCTCTTGCTTCTTTAATGCCCTTTGGAGCTTTGAATTGGGTTCTGGTTTTTGTACGTGAATTTAAATTGCTGTATCCATTGTACTTCTTGTGACTGATTGTTAAGGGCAGGAAATGTACCACTCACTTTAAAGTTATGATATATGAACCTAAGACAATATTAAGGCTGATCTTGTTTTGTATGACTAGAGAGTGATAGGATGGAACTGTTGATTTTAAAGATAGATTGTGGCAAAGAGGCTAAGTTCAAATCCCCTGTGGTCCTGAAATGTTATGTGGATTTACACTGAAAAGTATATGGTTGGTGGCATGTCATGTAAGGGGTATTAGGCAGATGTTTGTATTCCTGGTATCTTAGTGTATGAGTCTTTTAAAAATCAAGTCTGCACAAAGCCTGTATTGAAAATATAGAATATATTGCAAAATATTTTTAAAGCAGTGTTAGTACAGGATGAGTTTTGTAATAAATGGGGCAATAGATCAGAATTAATGTGAATTGGTTAGAGGCATTCAAAATTGCAATCCTGATTAGAATAATGTCATTCAGTCAAAATTGCAATCCTGATTAATGTCAATTGGTATTTGATGAATAATCTACTGCATTTTAAGAATATACTGGCGAGGTTATCTTTAATTTGGCACTGTTTCCAAAAAAAAAAAAGTCCTACATTCATTTCACCTTAGCACACTGTGTTTTTACAAATTATAAATGATCGTATTTTTTTTTAAAAAAACTGTATATCACTGCAGCTGCCCAAAAGGGTTTGGGCAGGCAAAGTGAAGAGAACAGGTTTTGACAGCAGTCCAACTCTGCCTATGCAAGGCTGATCAGGTTTTTAAAAACCGCGCCTGTATATTGCTTGTGACTTCCTGCAGGCTCCTAAGCCACAGTTTGAGAAACCATGGCCTGTGTAATTGTTATGCTATGGTGCTAGAGCAGATTTGTGCAAAACAACTCAGTGATGATAGACAATAGCTATATAACATGGTTTCATATCCATAGAATTTTGTATTGGAAGATTCATATTGAAAATATCGTGAACCACAACTATGATTTCTTTTTTAAAAAAACGATGCTTACAATGGGTTTCTCTTTAACTCTTCCTTTTCATACAGGGTTCTTGGGGATCTGGAAAGGATCAATATAGCAGAGAGCTGCTTAAGTCCTCTTTATTTGCAGCAGCCAGTCGCAAGCGGAAAAAAGCAAAAGAGAAACTGCAACCCAGCAGCTCTGAAGATGAGTTGGATAATGTGTTTTTCAAGAAGGAGCCTGCAGAGCACTGTTACAGTGACTCGGCAAAAGAGGGCACATCTAAAGAGGAGCTAGAGAAGGAGACGGCAGAGAGAAAACAGAGAACCATAGTTCCAAAAGAAAAGGAGGAAACTGTTAACAGGCCTTCTGCAGCAACCAAGGGGGAAATCATGTTGCTGAGGAGAGAGAATGCGTCCTCAGAAGAACTCTCAACATCTTATCTCCAGAAATACACGAGATCCCCAAATCTCAGCTGTCAGCTAAGTACACAAAAGGATTGCCATAAACTCCCCATCTTCCAGATCGCTTCTCAGATGGAAGAAACTGTTTCGGACTCAGGCACTATCCTTAGCAGTTCTTCGCAGGCTTCTCTGCAGAAAGTCTCCTGTAAAAGGTTGGGAAGCCCTGATAATAAATACAGTGAGTTTTTAGCAGCTGATGTCAGCTCCATCACTTCAGATTACTCCACAACATCCTCAACTACATACTTAACTGGTCTAGATTCCACAATGCTATGTTCTGAAGTGCAGTCAGTGACAGAGAGTAAAGGGGAAGAGGCTGATGATGAAAGAAGTGAATTGATCAGTGAAGGTCGCCCTGTGGAAACAGACAGTGAGAATGATTTCCCTGTTTTTGCAGCAAGTTCTACTGTGGATAGGCTGTTCAGGGGCAATAATCAAGACATGGCAAAGAACAGCAGGAGGAACTCTGAAGAAAGTGAAGTAAGTTGTACAGAGGGAAGTTCAACGCCAAAGCTGGACAGCCGCAGACTTTTCAGTTCACACAAACTTATTGAATGTGATACACTATCTCGGAAAAAGTCGGCAAGGCACAAGACAGATAGTGAAGGCTCAGGAGATGCAAAATGTGAGAAGGAAATCCCAGCAGTAACGAAAAAAACGGATATAAAGAAAGGAAAGACAACCAGCAGCATAACCACATCAACAAGAAGTGAACCTGTCAAACAGGAGCCTACATGGAGACTCAAGATTACAGACAGATTAAAACTGCGTCTCAAGTCATCTGCAGATGATATGTTTGGAATTGGCAATCAGAAGTCAAACCCTGCAGAGAGCTCCAAAAGAAAAAACATCAGGCGAAGGCACACGTTAGGAGGACAGAGAGACTTTGCTGAAATAAGTGTTCTGAATGCATGGAAAGCTCAAGAGAAAAACCCAAGCATGGAGAAAGACATTTCGGCAGTGAACCGGTTGAAGCCAAAATGTCCATCCCAGGATCTCTCCATCTCAGACTGGCTCGCACGAGAGCGTCTGCGGAGCAGCACAACAGACCTTAACGTGGGTGAAACTGTAGAGACTAAACGGGAGAATGTAAGCCAGTTAGACGATTCCTCAAAGACAGAGTTCTCATTTTCTGCAGAGATGTGGTCAGAAGAAGGTGGTTCTTCTGGTAGTGGTTTGACTCTGGTTCCCAAAACCCCTGGGTCAGGACCACTCCAAACACTAGACCACATAAATGGAGAAAGCTACCAAAATATGAACAAAGGTAACTTCAGCCCAGCTGTTGATGCCCACCCTCATAAGTTGTCTGGGACCCAGGTGGTTAGGTCTCGATTCTACCAGTATCTTTGAGACAGTTAAATGACCACCACCGCAATTCAGTAGCAGCTTCTCTTTTAACTTTTCCTCAACTGTTTTGTATGGTTTTTTTTCCCACCTGCACAGTGTTACTTTGCAGTGAAGGAGGTTTCTTTCATCAGTATGCACTATGCATTAATGCAGCTACAATATTGGTTGGGATGGTAGAGGGATCTTT